GGGGGGGGTGTCAGTTCATTGTTTCGGATGGTAATGGCTTTAAGATGGAAAAGTGTGGATGAATCGGTGTGTTTTCTTGAGGGTAACAGGTCAGATTAAGCTGAGTCTTCCAGGATGCTGAACATGTCTCCAGGGCAGCCAGCTGGTGTTTTCTGATGTTTTTATCATTTCCTGCAGAGCTGACTGAGGACACTCTCAATGGAGCACCAGTAGAAAGACACCAAGAGATGCTGTGTGAGGTTCACCTTCCTGAGCACTCTTAGGAAGTGTGGACACCCTCTCCACCTTCTCCCCATTGATGTATCAGGATGTGTGTGTAACCGGGTCATAAATGACATATTCTTATAATTACACAAAATGTGTTCTAAACCCCAAACTGTTTGTGGTATGCCAGACTTCTAAGACCTCCAAGCCTGTAGTTATCTTCATTATCAGCTCATTATGAGCCCCTCCTCATCCTTTTCTTCTTCTTTGGTGCAACCCTAATTTTGTGGTACCCGTTTGGCCTCTCTTCTTTTCTGCAATTCCTCTGTAGCAGAGGTCAGTGTCATTTCTTTTCTAACACTAATTATATCTTTCTCCACCCTGATGTTTCTGATTGTGTGTTTTAGTTCATTATTGTCATCATTACGCCTGTTTTTACTAGATGCTGTGAATATGTGCAACGTGTGTGCTGTTTGCAGGGACACACCGGTTACACACGGAGATTCTGCTTCCTCCCAAAGTGAATAATCATTTCTTTTGTCGTTTTTGTTGTGTTATGGGATGTGAGATGCGCAGTGTTGATCCTGGTCAGACATCTCGGCACAGTCTACTGGGTGGGATGGTCTCAAAGGCAGAGCTGTAGTCCCCATGTTGCTCCACTGATATTTAAAACACAAAATACTGCTGTGTTTGACCAAACATATCATTATGTTATGATGAGAAAATATAAATGTACCTTTGATTTTGGTAATAAAATTATCCTGGACAGGTCACCGGTCTCTTCCTGTTAAATAGTGTTTTTCCTCCCCACTGTTGCCAGAGTCTTGCTCATGATCATTGTGATTCTCTCTCCAATAATATGGCCCGTGGTGTCCAGTGTGCACCCTGAGATGTGACATTTTAAATTTCCATTATGTAATTTTAATTTACTGGAAAAGGGGTTCACAGCAGGGCAAATGGGAAAAATTTTGAGAGTAACAGTAAAATATTCTGGGTCACAAGACAGCAGCAGCAGTTATGATCTTCTGATTTCACATATTTGTAGCTTAGGAAAAGTTTCTGAATTCCAGAACTGGAATTTTGTGGCTTTTGTTACTTTTCCAAAAATGTCAGAGATGAAGTTCAAAAACTGAAACTGACAAATTATTATAGTGACATTTACAAAAAAAAATAGAAAAAAAAAAGAGTCGTTGAAAGTAATTTTTTAAAAGACTAAATAAATAATCGTTCTTTCTTTCTTTTTTTTTTTTTTTTTTTAAAAATCTGGTATTTTCAGTTTTTATTTTGCCCTCCATGTTCATCTTTTACTTTTTTCCTCCTTTCACTTTATCCTAAGCATGGAGCTGGTGGGAGGGAGTAAGGTGATGAAGTGCGCGTGTGTGGGGCTTTGGATACAGTGAGGCATGCAGAGGGCTGGTTCTCGGGGGCAGTGTACTTTAAAAGGGGCTAGATCTGCTGCTCGGATTCAGGTTGGAGTTTTTGTGCACCTCGCAGGGAAACAGATGGATCCCTTCTGGATTTTTAACCCGTGAATTCTTTTCGATTGTCCCGTACACGCTGGAGGAGGGTTACGGTTACACCTCCGTGCGCCCGGAGGAGAAACTGTGACCATGCCGTTCCCCTCGGTGAGCTCCTGCAATGCCACGCACCAAAACTGCACCGATAGCTCTAACTTTACGCAGCAGCTGAAGAGAAACGACACCGACCCGTTCGGACGTAACGAGGAGGTGGCCAAGCTCGAGATCACCGTGCTGAGCCTGGCGTTCGTGGCGGCGGTGGTGGGCAACCTGAGCGTGCTGCTCGCCATGTACCGAGCCCGGCGGAAACCGTCGCGCATGCACCTGTTTATGAAGCACCTGTGCCTGGCTGACCTGGTGGTGGCCTTCTTCCAGGTGCTGCCGCAGCTCTGCTGGGAGGTAACGTTCCGCTTCTATGGGCCGGACTTCTTGTGCCGCATCGTGAAACACCTGCAGGTGCTGGGCATGTTCGCCTCCACCTACATGATGGTGATGATGACCGTGGACCGCTATATCGCCATCTGCCACCCGCTGCAGACGCTCCAGCAGCCCACGCAGCGCGCCTATATCATGATCGGCTCCACCTGGGCGTGCAGCCTGGTCCTCAGCACCCCGCAGTACTGCATTTTCTCCCTGAGCGAGGTGCGCCCCGGCTCAGCCGTCTACGACTGCTGGGGGCACTTTGTGGAGCCGTGGGGGGTTCGCGCGTACATCACCTGGATCACGGTCGGGATCTTCGTGGTGCCCGTGGCCGTGCTCGTGTCCTGCTATGGATTTATCTGCCGTACGATCTGGAGGAACCTCAGATACAAAACCCAGAGGAGAAAGAGCGCGGAGGCCAGCAAAAGTGGGATGCTGAGCCGGAGCTCGGTGAGCAGCGTCAGTACCATCTCCCGTGCCAAATTACGCACGGTCAAGATGACCTTTGTGATCGTGGTGGCGTACGTGGTGTGCTGGGCGCCTTTCTTCACGGTGCAAATGTGGTCGGTGTGGGATGAGACATTCTCCTGGGACGGTATGTGACCTGCTGACAGGACCAAAACCTTACTAAAAATATAAATCACACTTGTGGCAAAGTGTGAGTAAAGCGAATGGGCAGACTGAGGTTTAAGTAAATTTAGCAAACTTCACAGGTTTGGAATTACAAAGCTAAAGGCAGAATGCAGATTTTTAATTTAATTTAAATTGAATTCCAACTTCTTGTGAGAATAAACAGAAGCTAACAGCTCACGTATTCCCCTGTAACACTGTTATTTCAGTAGACACGTCCACGTGTCTCCGTTTGAGCCACATCTTTTCTGGTGAGACATGTGTTCACCTTTGAGCCACAAAGAGGCACATCCCCTCAACATATGAGGCAAAAATGCTTTGCACTCATCTCCAAATTAGCGCACTTGTCCACCCCGGTCTGCTGTCAAATTTTCTGCTTTGTAGCTCCTGAAAATGCAGCTTTAGACGTTCCACCTTCCCTGGAAGGGATTTTAAGGGAATTAAAAGAATGCTAAAGAGCAAATTTTCTTTAATTAAGATCTTAATTAAAGAAAATTTGCTCTTTAGCATTCTTTGATGTCTTTGGTTCAATTATTGGCGGCTCCAGTTAAATAAAAATCACAATGCAAAGCCTATAAATCCAAATGTAATATTGCTATTGGTAGGCACGTGTTTAGCCTCGTGCCCGCATGCAGATGTTATTTTGCGCAATAATTTAAACGTGCTTCAGTGCTCAATAACTTTTTTTAAAAACATTTTTTTATTTTAATTAATTAATTAATTAATTTAGTTGATTTGGGTTTATTTAACAAGATAATGTGCACTACATATATTACACCAGATAGAGCTAAAGGCTCATTTTCCTCAGATCATCCGATGGTGCAGATTAAAAAATGTGACATATTAAAAAATGTGACATATTGAAAAAATGTGCGAAATTAAGCACCCTCATAAAACAAAGTGTACTCATAATGAAAGTACTTAAAGAAGAAGAAGAAATTACAGTTGAAGAGCAAATCATTATCAAACCCACAGATACATTTCTTCAGTGCAAAGTAATTTAAGGCATGTGAGCCAAAGCTTTGCACAGGCAGTAACTGCAGACCTGAAGATATTTCAGCCACATTTTCAAACTGAAATCGAAATGTTTTTTTAGAGAACTGCACTCTGTGAGATTTTCTGGTAAAAAAAATAAAATAAAATCCAAATCTCTGCAGCCTCCGGTGAAAAAACAGTTTGGTCCAAGTGATGTTTAGACTTTTTCCTCAAATAATAATCATTATTATACACAGTTTTGCCAAACAGCGCAAAAGTTTTAGCATAAAAATGTTAAGGCGCTAAACATAAAGGTTAATATGTTGCCATCACTCTAAAGATGCAGCTGGAGATGACTTTAATGACCTGATTTACTGCTGGTTAATTTTACCTTCCATCTATCTATTTATAGATTTTTAACATCAGCATAAAAATGAGTAACTTAAACTTTAAAACTATAACACGGAGTACAAAACACAACATTTTCACTCAAAATAGAAAAGGAGCAGAACGTAACATCAGAACTGCATATCAGTAAAACACCTGAGTAAATATACTTTGTTACATTCCACCACTGGTCCTGGTCATGCTCTCTTCCAGGGGTGTCAGGCATTATGTCACTAGCAGTCCTTTGAAGTTTGCATTGCTTTTCTTTAGCCGGTGGGCAGCTGGCGAGTGTTTGCAGACAAGCTGGAATCGTTATCTGGGACCAAAGAAATTGCTGTTTATGACCGGTTGTTGACTGGTCTCGACCCTGTATGACTGGGGCCCTATTTTGGTAAATTAATTACACACGTATATTTTTAAAGTTTGCTTTCCACAAATTTCTTCACAAACATAATGTCTGTTTGCAACCGTAGGAGTCGCCCCCTGCTGGTCATAATAAAGAATACAGGTTGAAGGCAGTGCTGCATTGGTGGGTTGACTTTTTTTAAATTATTATAATTTTACTGGTGGTGTAATTATGACTTTAAAGAGTTCAGACACTCAGCTCCTCTCTTGGAGTAAAACGTGCTGCGGGACAGAAAAATATTTAGCAAACACAGACAGTGATTGAATCAGTGAAGTCATGAAGCATTTCTAAACTCTTTAAATAAGATCTTGATCATAGCTTACAAAATAGAATATGCTAATAATCTTTTGGCAGTTTGGTAAAAATTTGGTCAGTTTATAAATCGACAGATTCTAAGCCAGTTTACTGTCTCGCATATTATAACATTTCTCTCACACGTGAGGCCCAGTTTGGTTAAAATCTTTCATTTTAATTTGCTCCACTCTGGCAGCAGTTTGGGTTCAAAATGAGACAAAGTAGTTAAATTTTTCCTTGCACTCAAAAAGGGATTATATTTAAAAGTTCAGAGCTCTGGCTGGTTTTACGCCAGAAAATGATATAACCCTGATGTTCCCTGAAAATGAATTCCCATCAAGCTGCTGGAAGCAGCACTCATGCCCTCACCAGTCAGTAAGTCTCTGTATGACAGTGATAATGAAATTCTTCAAGTGGGTGAGCAGACCAGGGCAGCCTTTTCTCCTTTAACAGATTCCGAAGCTGCAAAATAAAATTCATATCCTGACTTCTATCATCGGAAAATTACTCTGCACTGACATGCACAGGCTTGAGGTTTAATAAAAAATGTAAAAAGATAAAAATGAAAAATTTTCACATATCTCCTCTTTTAATTTATTCTGTGGTTAAGGTTGGCCACAAGTTTCTGCTTTCTAATTTCTCTGTGACCTGCCACACTTCTCTATATTTTCTACTTTTTAATTGGTATTTGAAAAAGCTGGAAACTTCACACATGGTTAAACTGGCTCAAAGATAAACAAAGAAAGCCTTTAATTGGCCTTTAATTAAAACTTAAATAATTACAATATTGCAGGAAAATCTTCCAAACTTACACAAATACCAACTCTTTCCTTCCAAACCATATCTGTTATTAAAGCATGAATTTAATGGCTGAAGCACAGATGAAGCTTTCTAGTATCATCATATAGGGACCGTGTTGGGCTTGTTGGGTTCTGCTGGAGGTTCTGTACAGTTGAAAAATTAGAACATATCAGATTTGAGATTCATTTTCAAATGTTTTAAAATGCCAAAAATTCAAACAATGATCAATGTAGTGGTGTTAGTCAGTTGGCAAATGCTTTCAAGTCTAAATTCTGGTATTTTGGTCATCAGGAACATGGGTATGACCAGGCTGGACCTCTATTTCTTCCAGAGCTTCATTAATTCTTTGTGGAAAAGATTCAACAAGGTGTTGGAAACATCATTTTCGGATCATTCTGACATGACAGCATCAAACAGCTGCTGCAGATTTGTCTGCTGAACATCCACGATGTGAATCTCCCATTCCACCACATCCCAAAGATGCTCTGCTGAGCAGGCAACATTTTTCCAATTTTCTGCAATCAAGAAGACCCTGTGTGTATTGTAGAGTCACTTAAAGCACTTTTATCTCAATCCTGCAGTTCAGTTTAAACTTCAGCAGGTCATCTTCATCGTGTTTACGTGCCTAAATGCACTGAATTGCTGCTCCGTGATTGGCTGATTACATTTGTTTCTGTCAACACACACACGGGCGGGCCCACACTGGGAACCAGCGATCATATCAGCAACTGGATGTTATGTACATTGTTTAATGACATTTTTGTCCACATAAAGGCCCCAAAAAGTCAACAAAAGTTCAACAGATTGCAGAATAACAGTTTTATGACAAGAAGCACAGCAAGAGAAACTTCTGATAGGCCAGAAGTTGAACACTTTTGTATTTTCTACAAATTTACATAGTTTTAGCTGTTCTTTTAAATGTACTTTAGGACATTTGTGGTGATTTGTATAGAAGTATACTTCTAACAAACTATGCAGCTCATTCTCTCAATCATTTCTCTCAAATAGAAGACGTTTTGGCTCATCTTGAAAGAAAGGCAGCTCTGAAATGCAAACCTGAGGTCATAGTTCATAGGACAGAGGTCAATATGACATTTAGAATCCCTGGCTGTATCCCATTCACGGTCTGCAGCCTTAAAGTACGCAGCCTTAACGGTCCACAAGGGCCGCGTACTCAAAGACTGCTAAGGCCGGAAGTGCGAGGCTTGTGAAATGGGACGGTCTAGCCTCCGTCGCGCTGCCCAGGTTGCCTAGCAACCATGATACTAACAGCTGGAAACGTTTCATACAGCTTTGTTTGACAGAAATAAAGGAGAACACATTTTGTACATTTATTTCTACATGAGCTTTGTGTGATTTGATAAGTATCTGAGGCTGAGACCACAGGACTGTAAAACATGATTGTTGGGCTTCATTTCTGTACTGAACAGTCATTTAAGATTAGTTAGTAAATAACAATTAGCTAATGTTGTTCATGAGATTAAAGTCATCTCAATTTGGTAATGCAAATATAATATGGTCAATATAATAGTTATTATATTAATCATTATTAGTTATTACAGCAGTGAGTTTGAACTCTGTGTCAAACACTGAGCTTCAGTAAAGATTCAAGTTGCATTTATTTATATTTCCTATCACCTTAAATCTTCACTTAAAGACAAGTATCTTTGACAGTGTATATATAGGTGTATCATATATAAGAGACAAATATTGTTCTTTTAACATGTTGGCATTACTAAATTTGGCTCACTGCTTACATATATGTGTAAAAAGAAAATGTACAAGCTGTGATAACTGTTTCTGATGAAGAGTAGACTGATATATTAAATATTCCTTTATTGGGTGAGAAAATCAGACCATGTCATAACTGCTTTAAGTCATACAGATTAGATATCAGAGCCTTAAACAGGCTGACTTCTGCTAAATGGGTCAAACTGGGCAGAAAGTATACAAACACATAACATCCTTATAGAATATGATGTAACACTATAGATCAACTTACCTCAGAATATATAAAGCATATAAACAATTACAGCAATATGATGCAACAAACACAGCAGTACTACTAATCCAAAATACTCAAAGCTTCATAGACCTGAAACAAACATTTATTTTTAGCTCCATTCTGCTGCTGATACATACTTTAGGTTTCTGAATATTAAACTTGTTGCTGCCTTTCATAGTGTGTAACTTGAAGGCCCTGAGTACTTTCTCCCACACTGAAAACACTGGAATGATTACATTATTTGAACATTACCTAATAAGACTGATTCAGGACAGACAATTAGTTATTCTAAACTTTTCTAGCAGTCCTTCACAAACAGGGAACAGTCTGTCTATTCTCTCCATCTGTCAGCTGCTGCTGGCTCTTCCTCCTCCTCTTCCTCACACACTGCTGAGTTTGTCCTGGTGGATCATCAGGGGTACAAAGCCTCACAGATGATGTGCAGCAGTGGGTCCCTCAGTCTGTGACATAATCAGCCTTAAAATGCGGCCCTTAAGGCTGTAGACCCTGAATTGGGATACAGCCCCTGTATACCAGTATCATCCGGTCAAAGCAGATGGCCGCCCCTCCTGGAGCCTGGGTCTGCTTGACGTCTCTTCATGTTAGTTTGAGTTTTGTGAGTTTTCCTTCCCACCGTCGCCAAGTGCCTGCTGATTGTTGGGATTTCTTTGTATTATTGTAGGGTCTTTACCTTAGAATATAAAGAACCTTGAAGGAACTGTTATTGTGATTTGATGCTATATAAACACAATTAAATTGAACTGAATTGAAGGCATCAGAATTTTTATAGAATTTAAAATATAAAAGTCATTTTATTAAAGTTTTACCTTATTTGACCTTAAGGAAGAGTTCAGAGGTTCAAAGTAACGTGATATTTAGTATCTACATACTCGCCGTATGGCTATATGTTGTCAATACAAACAATGGCAGTTCGACGAAAAGTTTTAAATAGCTCTACATAGCATTATTGTCACTTTGACCTTCAGATCAATCTATTCACCTTGAAGGAGAGGTCAGAGGTCAAATGTGACATGATATTTAAAATATTTATGTGGTACTTTCTATGTGTTGATAATACACAGCACACTTCTAAGAGGTTATATACGTTATAAATCACTAAGTTGACCTTGAAGACCTTGGTGAATGTAAGTTATGTGCTTACAAACAGAATGACATGCTGACTCTTCCAAACACATGACCTTGGAGGACATAAAAACAGGAGGCCTGAATATGATAGCAAGGCCAAATAATGTATTTTTAGAGTAGTTAATGCATGTATTTCTATTTGATGCACTCCTGTTTGAATGCCTCACTGGACCATTTACTCTGCTGTAATGAAACTTGTCTCAGCGGCTCCATCACGTCAGTAATTATTACCATTTCTATCCCTCCAAACCTCTGCTGCTGTCTCACCGCAAACGATCCGTCTTTAATCAGGAGAGAATTGCTGAGTCTCACGCGGCCTTCAGCATCAGCTGTCCTTGTTATCGGTGGTGCAGGAGAGCTGAGCTGGTCTGTTAATACTGGCGTTCGCTCAGGGTTGCTTTGCAGGCCACCGCTACATGAAGGCGGCCAAACCTTATTAAGAGCTGCCCGGCAGGCTGGCAGTACTCCAGTGTGTTTCAGACTAGTACATGTACTTTAACCTCTTAAGCCCCAAGCCTAACTGATCTCCTGCCTTTTGCCCCCGTATCAGGGGGCGTTGGGGCTTAAGAGGTTAAGAGGAAAAACACTTTGGTTTAGTTGCTGACGTCTCCGAGTGTGCTTCATAAATCTCTCTTCCTGTTTCCCCTGCAGACTCTGAGAATGCTGCTGTGACGCTCTCCGCCCTGCTGGCCAGCCTCAACAGCTGCTGCAACCCCTGGATCTACATGATCTTCAGCGGTAACCTGCTGTCGGACTTCGCCCGCAGCCTGCCGTGCTGTTGCCACCTGAGAAACCGGTTCTACCACCAGGATTCGGACAGCAGCATCCGCCGGACCACGCTGCTGACCCGCCTGCAGGGTCAACGCCCTTCAGAGCCTTTCAGAGACCTTAAACCCACCCCCAAAAGCTGCCTGCCAATCCCATCTACATCCTGACCCCCAGAAACACTACCTTTGTGTGTTTATATGTTTATGTGTGTATGTGTGTGCGTGTTTAGTAAAACTGCAGCAGGTGTGCAGCAGTGAGGGAAGGTATGACATCATCTGAGGGTGCGTTCACACCTACCCTATGTTTTTTTTGGTCCAATCCAGAGTGGGAAAGTTTACTCCAAAGGACATTTTTGGTGTTTGGCTTGTTTGGGTTCACACAGCTGACGTTTAATAACTCATTTCCAGTCTGCGGGGTTGGAGACTGTGGGGATAGTAAATAAAAGCTGTACAGTACAGGCAGTGTGGATGTATTTCACTTTGAATGCACTATTGGGTGTGTTTCCTTGGAGAGCTGCTCTCATTGAAGTATTTAAAGCATGTTTACGAGATCATTTTTTAAGACTTAAGGTTAAGTCTGGTGTTACTCTGCAGTCCTTGAATTAATTCATGTACAAATCCCTTCCCTCTCAAAAAAAAATGTGTTCGTCTGTTTCTGCTTCATACTTTCTCGCTTCTGCTTTCTCCCTCTGAACATACAAAACTTAAAAAAAAATTATTTCCAGCTCTTAAAGCCTCAATAAAATCCTCTTTGTTGTGCTGTTTTCTAAATTTAACAATCAAACAGGAAAATAGTGCATTTTGGGGGACTATTTTCAGTGGCGGATGAATTTGTCTACATTGGGACATCCATGACCTCACCTGATGTCATTCCGTATTTAATCAGTCAGTGCCTCTATCACAGTGTACTTAATGAAGCTATGAAGTTTAACCTTCATACTGTGAAATCATTGTTTTAAAGACGCTGGAGTGGAAAGGTACTTTCTTAATAATCATTTAATTCTTTTAGTTATAAAATGTGGAAAGTTTGGGGTAAACTTTTTTTTTTTCAAAATTAAAAAACCAAACAAACAAAAATACTTTCGCAAAAAGAAATTAGGTTAGAAAATCAACTCATATTTACCTTTGAGGAGCTGGAATGACTCTGGGACAATCACACGTGTATCCACACTACCCTGCTTAAAAGTGTAAATCCTAATTAAAAGTGCTCTTTGTTCAGTATAATTAACACTGCCTCTGTGAACATCTGTTTAATTATTAATTTTTATTATGATGCTCTGATGCTCGCTCATGCTTTGCTGGCTTCTGTAGCAGCTTTGAGCCTCTTTAGAGACTCATTCTCAGATGTGTTTGTAGACATTGAAGATATTTCATGAGTGTGATGTATTCTGTCATCTCTGTATTGCTCTAATATGTATTGCACGTGTTGTAAAGGCAGATAAAAGCTGTTGCTTGTGTCATCACGTGATGTTCGACTGCTTTCTGTCTGTAACAGGAGGGTTTTATAGGTGATCACTTACCTGCTTTTAGTAACTTTCACTAAGTACAAAAGCAGTGAAGAGCTAAAGTAATGAAAAATTATTAGTTATAGATCTGTGGATTGATCCAGCCTTCATAAGTCTTTCATAAAGACTATTATGATCATCAGAGTTATGGTTTTCCTGCAGTGCCACCATAAAACTGGAATTTCAGGGGTTTTAAGTGAAATATCCAAACAATAAATTGAGGTTCTTCCTCATAGGATCAACCTTTTTCCTCTAGAACAGGAATCATAAATTCAGTGGCTTGCGTGAGAAACATGATATCGTTTTAATTGATAAAGCTCAAGCATGTTTTGAGGCTCCATGAAGATTTTTGTCTTTGCTCAACAATGTCTATTGGTGGTAACTGTTTCTGATCTAACCTCTTTAGATCTGGTTCTCTTTGTGTTCAGAGTCAACATGTTCTCCAGTGTGAACGTGTCAGGGTTGAGCTTAATAGTGAAATATTTATATTTTCTGGCCACCTGGAGCACCAAAAAGCCAACAGTGAGAGCTCAGTGTAGCTCAGACGTTTATATGTTTAACAAACAAATGCTTATCTCCACATATTACAGCACAGCATTATCATCCATTTCCAGCTGTTTTTGTCTCCGTCTGATAAACGTATCAGGATCAGATAAAGACTTTCCTAAAGTGTAACCGTGGTGACATCATCAGCTGGTTTGTGAGGCTGCATTTTGAGTGTTTTTGCTAAAGAGTGGACCTGAGTGACCCGAGTGACATCATGAACTCACTGCTCCAGAGTTGACGTGGTTTAACCAGCAGACGAAAGGGAAAAATGAGCACTTCTTAACTGGTTGCTGGAGGTTATAGCTTGCATGGAAAATGGCAACTGGTCTGCAAACACTGGCTAACTAGCAGCTTAGCAACAACATTGGCTGGAGCCACCATGTTTCAAATGGCGTGACTTTTACTTTGAACAAACATTTACTATTTCCAGTTTGCACTGTCCTTTTTAAAGTTTTACTGTCACTCAGCTGGTAGTTGGTGAGTCTCTGCAGACATGTCACCATCTTCCATGCAAACAGAGGTGACTGTGGCAGCCAAAGTGACTGCAAGGAGGTTTTTGACAACCAGCTGGGGAACACACACAAACAATGAGTGTCACAGACGGATTGGTCACCTGTTTGCAAAATCTCTGTATTTGTAGATGTGGTTTTAATTTAAGAGAGCCGTCTGTGAAACTGTAAAGTGATTGGCTAACACTTTGCCCATCTGACCAAACAGGAATTTGGCCTTCAGGTGAAAATTACAGTTGGGATCAGCAGGGAGTTCAGCAGGGATTTTAAGTCCAGGAGTGATTACCTGATTTTCAGGTTCAAATCTGACCCACAGTGTTTACTGTTACTGTTAGCACAAGACAGTTTTTGTCTCACACGTGGCACGTAAACGTGAGCTGCTTTTCTCTTAACAGCTGCAGGTGTTCTAATGATGCTGCTTTTCTGAGGTTCAAACATTTCTGACATTGCTCTGCAGTAACAATAGTAACTGTGATGGCGTGTTTTTGGTAGCTAAACAACAGACTGGTGCATGAATGGGTTTAACAGGAGATGGATATCGTGACTCTTGCATAAGGCCGAGATGCAGCAGGTGCAGTGGCCACTCACCAGATTTAAATGACTAAATTTATCAGCTCATGCCCGACAGCTGCCTAAGGACACTTCAGAAAATTACATGGGAATATTAAACTTCAGACCTTTTTTTTTTTTTATATCTGTGCAATATCTTGGCATAAGTATGCTTCTCATAAAAACACTTCAACAGGATTTTTCCTTTTTTTTTTTTTTTTTTAACTCATGCAGGGAAACAGGAGTAATTGGAAGCAGGTTGGCTGCATGAGATGCAACAGATGTCTGAAATTGAAAACAAATAAAATGGTTTCAGCGCTTCAATCAAAGAGTTCATCCTGTGATTTTTGATTCATTCCTTGCAGGAAAAGTGAGAGCCTCCAGGCTGAAGTGAACCCCTGAGAGGTGGCAATGAAAGGAACTATAATTTCCTGCCTGAGCCAACTTGATTAGTTTGAAAGCACTTTCAAACCAGAACTTCAAAAGGTTCCCTGTAGACATGCTTAACACTCTTGTTCCAGGATCACATCTCCCCCCACTGACCTCTTAGAGATGTGTTTTTGTCTGATTTCCACTGTGTAAACAGACACACAGAGCCAGTGCATGAAGGTGAATCTCAGATGAAAATTCAGACTGACTCTCATAACTCAGGACAGCTGAGGGGAAACAGGAATGCCAAAAATGCTTATCTTTACGCACCAGGGCCTCATATTTCAACCCAGGCTTGAGCCTGCAAATGTAAGGCAGCTCAGAGGCTTCATAGGAATCATATCTATGAAAACAAATCATAAAAAAAGAAACACAGAGGGCAGACAGACCTATATCAGCAGCACTTGTTTTCCTAATTTGGTCAGTTGTCACCTGCAATCTAACCACAAAAGACATTTGATTTCATTTTAAAAATGTTCTCCAAGAAACTCTGGTAATTTATTCAAGTGAAGACTAAGCTTTTCCTTATTTTCTATAAGCTGTTCTAACAGTGGATGTTCATATTACCCATGGCCAAAGTTTCTAATATTGAGGTGATTGTGTGTGAGAGTAATATCTTTGAGACAAATGCGTTTTTACATAGTTTTTTCTACTCCTTGTCTGTCTGATGTCATAGAGAGGGCACGTTCCTAATACATCCACAGACTCCCCACCTACCAGCTCTTTAAACTTTCTCTCTTTGTGGAGCAGCCAATGAGACGGACGTTTTCTTAAATGGGGAGGAGCTTAACCTGGGCACTGACATCAAGTATAAGGTAAAAAAGTATTATTTGTAACTGTGGATCACACAAAGCTGCTCTAGTACAGTCCAAGAATAAAATCTAGAGCTGGAAACAAGTTTCCAGAGACCACTCGATATCAAAGACAGCAGCTTATAGCAGTCGACATCGAACTGCATTCTGTGCATCAACAAATAATGTTCAATTCCTTCTAATAATCTCTCTTTATTGAAAAGAAATTAAGGGGCCATATAAAGCTGCATTCGTGCAATTTTCTGAGAAAGAGAAGTTTCTGAATTTAGTTGTTTATTCTCGACCTCTTAGCTGTATCTGGTGACCCTATTGAGGGACCTGACCCCTATGTTGTGAAGCAATGTGTATAAACTAAATGAAACTGCCTCCATATTGAACATTAATAGAATTAATACTGATGTATTAACAGCCTCATATAGTCACATAAATGCATTTGTTATAAATTCATGAAGCGTTTTACAATGAATGCTTGCAGAGCAATATTTGCAAAGCGGGCAGTAATTGTATATAAAACACTCAAACTGCTTGCTGTACTTTAAATCGTAACCACTGTGACAGGGTAAAGGGTTTGTTCACATGGTTACTGCAATTTCGTGTTCACTCTGAAGGCATTTCTACTGAGAATCAATCACCTTGTCTGTGGAGGACGCCATTTATAAAAGAGTTGAATGCAGAAATCAGAGAAAGGAAGTGTATTATTAAAGGAAGGAAGCAAAGGTGAATGTGGCAAAGCAAGGCCGGTTTAAAAAAAAAAAGGAAGAAAGAAAAAAAGAAGCTGCTTTCAGCATTAAAGACATTGGGCGAGGCTACATCCTGTGGTGGTATCTTTGCACAGATCACCCTGACTCCATTTCCTTGAACTGTGTTCAGTACGTGTGTCCATTTCCTACACATTCTTCCCCGGATATCTTTTTTTTTTTTTTTTTTTTCTAACAGATTTTTCTTCTTCTGACAGAAT